CCATAGACTTAAAGCAGCCTTAACAACTGAACTCATTATTGCAATAAAACATAATTTCTCTATTCATAATTTTAGAAGAAAGCCTTTCTCCTGCAAACAAATGCAGTTTTGCTTGAGTCAGCAGAACTCTACCATTATAAGTGCTGCTCTTCTCAATTATTTAGAATGCAAGGATTACCTTCATTATTTAAAATTATTTTAACAATTGACTTGAAAAAGTCTGAACTACTTCATTATGATGCCTGTGTGATTTTGGTAAAAATAAAATAAATACATTTTATTTTAAAATGATTTACGTATCAAACTTGTATGGCCCTACTACCATGCTCCAGATATTTTATTATTAGATGCTAAGGAATAGAGTAGGTTAAACATGCTTGTATAGAAAGCACTTCTACTTACAATGTTCACAACCCTGCAACATAAACTACACAGTAAAAACAAATATAAACATATTAGAGGCTTTTTGAGCTAATGATCAGTTAGACAGCATTTAAACAGAAGTCTGTTTGCTTCCAAAGTTTTTGGCTTTTCAGTCCACTACACTGAAATTATCTGACCTGTCACTAGTCTTCAAACCAGTTCTTAAAACTATAATCACAATTTAATATTACAGCATATATGACAATTAATAATGATTTTTAAAACCATCTTGATACTATGTATTTTATTTTGTTTTGGAAAATATACAGAATTACTTATTACTTTTTTCTTTGAAAACTGATATAATTTTAAATTTAACTCGACCTAATTCATTTTATCCATAACGTAACTGAACCCTAGGTGTCCTAAAAATGTAAGGCTATTAAAATTAATCCAGCTAACTAAATGTTCTAATGAACTAACAAAGCTTAATTTCATTACCAGGATTAACTCATCAATTAGGAATTAAGAGTTTTATTAGCTGATTAATTGTCATTAAAATAAAGTAGAACAACTTTCTACAATGGTGAGAAAAAACATAAGTCTTGATTACAAGATTTAGGAATATGGCTGCTTAGAGATATTATAACCCTAAAATCCAATAACTGTATTTTTTAAAACATAGAACTGAAATATGCATTGTTGTCTAGGAAGAAAGTCTTCTTACCTCAAGTAACTATTCTTTTAGTTACTGAGTTTTTTAATTTTTACATTATTTTTGCACATTGGAATAATTATAAAAATTAGAAAATTAATACATGCTTTGGGATAGTTGCAATAATTTTTTTTT